ATAATATAACGATCCCATGGCTGATGGGCCTGTCGCTGATAAATTATTTAACTAAAAGCTGTTTTTGAATAAATCTGGCTTATCAAATCTATCCTAAGTGCAACTATAATTGTATAATTTTATTATATCTAAACTACGATTATTAGTCTAGGAAAAATAATTAAAATGATTAAAAACATTACTTTGCTTTACTCTAGCTTAACATATACATAAAAGGTAGTCCAACAAAACTATCATGCATTTGAAGGGGTTAAACGTTTATAAAACACTAATTTGCCTCCCCACTTATAGGCTTAGGACTGATAGTGATTATAATGTTTGATATGGTTAAAAATGATTGTGTAATACATAGGTACCACTGTTCATTATGTTAATATAATATTATAATATATACATATATAAATATATTAAATTATCGAATATTATTATTGCCTTTATTATAACTTTTTTTAAATTAATTTTGATAATTTTTCCTAGTAATAAAATATATATAATTTTTTTATTATTTTTTTAAATTGTCAAATGTTATTCATTTTTTCATTTCTATAATTTTTTTTTAGTACCTATTTATTTTTTAAAGCTATGTCTAACAAAACGGTATGTTACACGGTATTATTATGCATTTATGCACGTACACTTGAAGGTCCATATGGTGAAATTAAATGTTAGCGATCCTCATGCACACACACATAGATAATTGTCTATATTGAACTCCTTAAAAACGGTAGCAAATCGAATACCCTTAAGAGTTTATTATTGTTTCAAAATCCATTATTTTTTGTGTTTTTCAAATTTCAATAACTTTTTTTGTTGTTCCAATATCGAAAAAAATAAAAACGATATTTCACTGCCAATGTTCTCATTTTTATGTTGTGAAAAGGTTGTTACTACTCTAGCCAATAGACCTATAAACTAATGGAAAACGCTTTCCACACCCCCCCCCCCGCCATTGGTTGATCCAGACAATAATGGATCAACCAATAATTGATCAACAATAATAGTTTCTAATAACAATTTATATGTAGCTAAACTATATTAATTTAATTAAAAAGTTCTAAGTGAAGACAAAACTAAGGTCTTAAAAGTTCTTTAGAATCCCAACTTAAAATAAATTTACATCTCTGCAACGGAAGGGGGCGAACCGGTAAAGCTCGGTATCCCGATGAGTATATTTGTCACTGGACAACCTCATCATTTCGGGGAAAAAATAAACAAAAATAAAATCCATTTATATCCTAGGGACGAAATGTACATTTATATAATATATATTATTGATAATTTAATAAATAACAATTACCTATTTGTGTATACAAACAAGTTTACTGTATAACATTGTAATGTATTAACCTACATTATAATTTATATTATAACTCATAATAGGTACCCCCCAAATATTATCAATTATGCGTACGTATTTCTTAGAGATTAGAGAATGTATTACCTATTCGGCTAGGTTTAAAACTTTAAGCTTTAGATATTCAGTTTTTTCAGAGAAAAATAATATGTCTTAAAAAAAAATGTAGACGTAATTTTCACAGGAAAGTGCATTATGCATTGTTATTTTCGTGGGGCGTATCGTTATAAGAACACGTGTAAAATAAGTGGTGAGGATTTGTCACTAAAACCCTGGTGGTAATCCATCCGAGAACTAGTGACAACGGCTGGTACTTGAACTCAGAACGCGTTTGTGACTGAAGCCAAACACCAGGCCACCTCAGGCCGCAAGAACTAATTTAAATTAACATAAATTGATTAATTTAACATTTCATTTATAATTATTAAATAGTTGTATCCAAAACAATATACTATAGGTACCTACCTGTATATTACTATAATATTTTTATAAGTACATTATAATTTGTGTATATACATTATATCAATAAGAAACTTTCGATTTCGATTTTGGTTTCGTATTATTATTTATTGAAAATAAAAAAATTTTCGCTCGGTATAAAAACGATTGAAAATTGAATATAAGATTCCTTAATCCCTAATTCCCTAATATACTCTAAATTTTTCGTATACCCACGAATAACATTTTAGAACAGCATTTTTGGTAACACGATTGAGAACGCTCGATATTTTATTTTTTTTTCCAACGTTGTCAGATTTAATCGAATGATAATTTGAGCATGATAATCTGTTGATATTGAAATAATCCAGTAATATATAATGTTAATTGTTATTCAAATTCTAATTGAAACTCAAGCAGAAACAATACTGAAAATAGCTACGATAGTTAGAGTCAAGGTACTAAGAATAATATGACCATGTCCTATGGCAATAGGTTAAAGTAGATTTGGGGGCTTAGATGATTGATTGATCTATCAATATAAATAATTTGTAAAAATCATTTAAGTATAACGAATACTACTTACATCTAATAGGTATTACATATAGTTTAAATTTTTGTTAAACCATATTTAAGGATTATTATCCTTATTCCTTAGTATAAATATTTTAATAACTCAGAAATAACTTATTAGAATTTGATTTAGATACTTTAACATTTTCAAGATAATCACCCTCTAAATAATTAACAGTAGAAAAATTGGGCTTTCATTTGAAAAATTGAAGTTTGTATAGCCACAGGACATTTCTTGAGTAGTACAAAATTATCAGTAATTTGAATATATTATGGTCTTCAGGTATACTTAAAATCAGAATTTGAATAAAAGTATTTTTAAATAAATAAATGGTGGTAAGCATTGCTTAAAAATGGTTCTGTATATTACATATTTTTATGAGTTATATATATCATTTTACATTTTTTTTCTGATATTTGTATTACATATTATTAGATGCCCATATATTTGTATATTATGGTTATATAATTATTAATTGATGACTTTTTTCAAGAATATTTATTTTATGCATACATGCATGAATCTATCATAGCCAAATAAATGATATGGCAACGTTGCACGCAAATTCGGTCTCAATCGTATTCTGTTTTGGGTTTTTTTTTGGATCAGCTGTAAATTCTTTGCTAATTTTAAGTGTTATCAATCGTTCAGCCAAAAAGGTAAACGTTCTCAATCGTTTGATAGCCAAATTTTGAAATTACAACAAAATAACTATAAAATTGATATTCTTTGTGTCAGGGATCGAAACCTTTTCATATTTTAACGGTTTCGGTTTCGGTTTTTGAGAACGGTTTTCTACATTTACTGGTTTTGGTTTAGGTTTTAAGATCGGTTTTTCAAATTTTTTGGTTTTGGTTTCGGTTTCAAGAACGGTTTTTGAAAATGTTTGGTTTTGGTTTTTGCAACGGTTTTAAATTTTTTTATATTATTCTACATCTAAAAACCGTTGACCCAATTGTTATTATATATTAAATATATTAAGGGCTGAGCCTAAAGCCCTAAAAATTAAAATATATCCGATTTGTACACTTTATGTAGAATGTGCATACAATATGCCAAGTTATGTTCAGCAGGACTAATTTCGTGTTCTCAACAACGTAGGTATAGTAGGTACCTTACCTGCTTTTGCATACAACATATTATAGAGATCATTATTCGATTACATTACATTAATAGTTAATTGTAATTTACAATAATATTGCATTATATTAAAGACTACAGTATAATAAATCTCATGATATGTCATGTTAAATCTCATCTCATGTTATGCTTATGATATTTGAACAAAATAATAAATTTAAATTTAAATGGATAGTTACTAAAAAAGGTTTTTGGAGTATTGACAATTCTGTTATTTAAAAAGGTATAAATACACGTTAAACACACATTTTTAATTCAAGAGACACACTATTTCAGGCCAAGAGATTGTTAGAAATTTACATATTTCTATTTTTTAATAACATTTGTCGTTTTCATTACCAATACTCAATAGGCAATAAATAATAATTAATAAATAATAACATTACAATTAAAATAATATATCATTATTTAAGTACCTGTGTGGCTGTGTTGTAATAGTTAGAACACAGTAGGAAATGGGAATACATTTACATAAACATAATATATGTAGGTACCATTATAATTTCTGAAGTATCTTCTTTATTTGTGACATTATTTCTTGTCTAATTTTCATAAAAAAATGTGCAACTAAATAATGCAAAATTGAAACTTTATAAAATTTATATTGATTATAAATAATCAAATGTTAACTAGGTATAGCTTGCGTATAATGGTCTCATGCAATGTATGAATTTAGAAGTTGAAATTAATTCTCCTTCATCCCTTTTGGGCATTTACAAACACAATATTTTATTTAATACTTTTTCTATCATAACTCATAAGCTATTACTTACAATTTATTTATTTATTTATTCATATGGCAATACTTGTTTTTATAAAAAATAAACCACAATATATATATATATATATACAGCTAAATTATTAAGAAAAGCTAATACATTTAACTGCGGATTCTAATGTTTATTTAAATATAATTATAATTATTGGTAGGAACGTAATTACATTTTACTTCATAGGTAACAAGTATATAAACAAAAAACTGTCTGTTAAATGTATAAATAAAATAATAAAATATATAAATAATAATTTGTAAATACTTAACAAGTATTAAATAAATGATATGTAGGTACTTTTGTAATCATGTAGATTGTAGGTACCTGCAAGTACCTATAACAATTAATTAATAATTACCATCATTATTTATTTGCTCGTATCAACATTATTTTCTCCAGTAGTTCTGAGCCCAATCTGGATCTTAAATCTCCAAACACAAACTTGAGAGACGAAAATGAACGTTCTACTGATACCTAAATCAAAATAATCAAAATAATTGGATTTCTTGGATTCTCTAATAGTTTAATCTTTAGTTTATACTTTAGACATAAATATTTTAAAATTATAATCTAAAAATATGAATTTTAACTAAATAATTATGACATTTATAATTTATTGTTGGTAAACATAAATGATAAAATATAATACCTGTGTTGTAGGAACAGCCATAACCACATGAGAAAGAGCATACAGTTCATGGCATTCAAACTTTTTACTTTCTCAGTAAGACAAAATACTTTCTGTATGTGGTAGTATAGGTTGGTTATCATATAAATTCAGGAGTGACAAGATTGAAATAGAAACAGTATCTGTGTTAGATGAAGAAGATTGAGATGATGAAGGTACACTTTGTGATACTGATTGCAAGTATAATTGAAAATTATTAGGATCATTTTCCTCCAATCCTGTTTCTATATTTTCATTAGTAGTTTCACTAATTTCTGTTATAGATTCATCAGTATCTTGGTCTTGGACTGAATCATTATTATTTTTTATGTTTTTCATTAAATTATAAGTATTCACTAAATGAAGTACAGCGTTGGTTTTTGATTTAACAGACATTAAATGTTGATAGCGTGGATCAAGATAAATTGCTAAAATATATATATATATATTTAATTATCTATTAGTTATTACTCATTAGAATTTAAGATACATGGTATAAAATTGAATACTGAACTAGGTAGGTATTAGTTATTACTTATTACTATTGATTACACATAGTTCTATGCATAATCAACGTTAGTACTTAACAGTTATTAGTTAATAATGTTATAGAACATGATTAAATAACAATTTACATTATCTCATAAGTCATAGGTACCTGATTCAAATACAGGATTCATAAAAATGTGTTTTTGTCGTTCGGCCATATTTTTTATTAAGTTTTTTGAGAGTGGAATATTTATCTTTGATAAAGACATTTCAGTCTTTAACCAAATACCATATACATCACCGGGAGTTAACGAGTTTGATTGCATTTGGACTGTGGCAATTTTAGCTGGCTCTAAAGCTGTAACCTGGTAAATTCGTAACAATTTCATAAATTTTAGACTCTTACTGACAACATATATAACAACTTACTATCTTTCCAACCAAATTCCAATCATTAGAAGATAAGATTATTTGTTCATTAGTCACACAAAATTGTTTGAGTTCTATAAGTCTGTACAACATATTGAATGTACTATTCCACCTAGTTTCAATGTCCAAAATTGCCTGCTTTAATCCTTCCCTTTTCAACCAGGCTGCGTATATTTGTGTTCTTAAAGTTTTCACTGCCTTAACAAAACAATTAAAAATATTTTAAATTTTTAAAACTTACCATTGTAAATATATTGTATTAGATAAGTATATAATATATAACCATAATCATAAACTAAACCAAAATCTAAAATAATTAGGTTTTTGACAAGTAGGTTAAGTAATATTATTAATTATTATATTTACTACAAAAAAGTGCAATAATTTATAAAGCACAACAAAATCTACATAAATCATTTGACTTTATAATTTATTTACTTTGCGAGCTTTAGACAAAATGCCTTGAATAGAACGGTCTTTCATAGAATCACAAATGGCAAGCTGAAATGTGTGAACTGCACATCTCATACATGTGGTTAATGGTCCCATCTCAATATCTGATGTACCTTTCATATCTTGAATATTTTGTAATAAAATATCATCGTCTGTAATTAATAAAGATAGTACATTAAAATATATCAATAGTTAATACAGTAAATGTTCAATTTCAAAATAACTACTGTCTTCCAGGTTGGAAATATTTTCTTCATCAGTATCATCAACTGGTTCATCATTATTTTCAGAATTTTCATTGAATAAGTAAACCATTTTCACCATGTTTCTTGCATTATCACAAGTTATGGAGTATATTTGTGCAGGACTTATTTTGTATCTTTCCATTACAAGTAATACCTTATAAAGTAAAATTTAAAATATTGAATTAGAATATGAATCATTGTTAAATCGATCAGAAATATTAAAAATGTATAACAATCATAAGCACACACAGATATTGTCAGCAGTGTAGTCGATAGTAATACATAATATTATACATGTATTCTACCTATACTGAAGTAATTTTTCAATAACTAAATTATTTAAAAAATATTAGTAGTGTTATACTGTTATATAATGTATACTATTATATTGTATTAAATATTAATATTTATAATAAACAAAATAATATGAAGGTTTACTGAGTCATAAAATAATAATATTGGTACCTATGCACATATAAATTATAATGGTACTTATAAAATTTAAAATATGCATGAAATAAGAAATTTAAATTAAGTATCATACATGTATGCCTAAGTAGTACCTACCACTTGTGATTATAAGTTTGAAGTTATGAATTACAATTTTACAATTATTGTAATTTGAAGACAATGCAAATTATTTATTTTCAAGATTTATTTATTTATTTAATGATTTTAATATTTAATGTAAAGGTAACTTACTTGCTGTTTTAAATAATGTCCAGTATGTCTATCTAATAATTCTGCCATTCCCAGAGTCACAATTTTGATTTTGCTATCATTAATAAATTGACAGTTGATCCCAATTATACTTCTGTTCAAACGTGTTACACAGTCAATCTTTAAAAAAACTAGTTTTTTACTCAATGCTTTTGTGATATCATCAACAATGTTATTGAATTTGTTTGCTATTTCTAGCTGTATATTTTTTTCATTTATTGTGAAATCTGCAAGTACCAATATAATTTAGAATTTAATTCAAAACAAAAAATCACACAATAAAAATATTTTTGGCAAAAACGAATTCAACGTACTGCAGTAATATAATTAATAGTAAAATAAATTACTTTAATCACAATAATATCATCAAATAAGTTGATAGACCGAAGAAGAAACGTTTTTCATATACAATGATTTTATATCATTGGATTACAATTTAACACATTCATTGCAGTGACTTCGCTAGACACCTAATGGCATACGATACCCACTTGTACGCATTTTTTTTACGGTTTTTAAATATGAGTATGATTGCGTACACCCATACATTTATTTATACAGCGTGTGTGTATTAAACATTTAAAATGTTTGAATATAAAAAACCCATTGCTTCTATAATAATATATTATAATGAAAATTAAAACTTTCCGTTATGTAATTGGAATTCAAACTCCATTTCAAAAGTGCATTAATATTGCCCTTTTGTTTTTTTTCATTTTTGATAACGATGTCTAACTTTTTTTTTAGAATTACCCATTGTATTTTATTTATTTTTCAAAATATTTTGTAAAGAAATGAGAATCATCAATTAGTTCACTGTAACTGTGCACAGCAAATGTGGTAATTTGTTTTGGAATATTGTTGATATGATCTATAAATAATATTCACATTGGGCAGTCACGCGACGAATCGCGTAGTTTGTACACTTTCGCTTAAGTTTTGCACAGCATGTGCAACTGCTACTGTTTAAAACGGAACGCTTAGCTAATTTCCAGCGTACCTACAGATTAATCTAGTAAAGCGATATGAATTCTGAAAACAGATTTGAGTTTGTCGTCAAGTCGTATTGAGATCGACTTCCCCACATTTTTCATTTTTTGATTTAAACTTTTCAAAAAATTTAAATACCTACGTCAATTTTTTAATTACTTTTTTTTAATTATAGTTTTTAGGATTTTGGTGGTATAATATTAAAAATGTGGCAAAGTCGATCTCAAGTGGACTTGACATCAAATTCAAATCTGTTTTCAGAATTCTTATCGTTTCACTAGAATCACTGGATTAATTGGTACGTTGGAAATATAACACGTCTATAATACTATGTTGCACGTGTGTTAGACAAAGACGGAAAATCGCTGCTTCCAATCCTCTTAAACATTTATCATTATATATATATTATATTATTAGCCCCACGGTTTTGAAGTATAAATTGTGATTACCTAACTTACGATGTTTCAATTATGTATTAACATTTAGAATACATAATATTAAAACGTACCGTCCATGTATTGCACAATAAATAGTACTTATTGAATACTTATATGAAATCAGAAATTGATGCACACATGGCCAAATACGCAGTTCATACTCCATAGGTAGTAAAACTGATAATTGGTAAATTGGAATCAAAATTTCCCGTTTAACTATAGTAATATTCTACACTATACAGCCATACAGACATATTATCAGTGTATAAGTATAAAAGTATAGTAAAGGTAAGATTTTTATATTGTTATTATAATATACGGATTGACAAGTAAAATAACTCAAGCGCAGGGCGTAACATTATAAATAAAATTGTTATAGATAGTCAGATAATACCGAGTAATTTAATGTATAAACGTTCAAAATACACACATTACATTCATGCAAGTATCACTCATAATTTTACATATTCTGCATGGCGTAGACAGTACTACAGTAGACACGAAGGGGGATATTGGGGATGGACCCAGCGCCAAGAACTTTTATCATTTTCTGAGCGTAGCGATAGTTAAATTGATTTTACAATGATGTCTGTTTTTTTGTCTGTCATCACCTTTTAGGTAAAAATGACGTACCTACGTCACACCAGCCCCCTCATTTTCAAAATATTAAAATTTATTTTTCTATCTTTTAGTATGCTTTTTGTACGAATTTGTAAGCATTGTTACAGAATTTGTATGAAAAAAGTGGCTCAGATATATCAAAAACCCGTCGGGGGGTTGGGGGGTGGCGAGACGTCACGCCAGCCCCCGACATTGGTTATTTGACCCCCCCCCCCCCCCCGAAGGGTTTTTTGATATATCTGAGCCACTTTGTTCATACATATTCTGTAACAATGCTTACAAATTCGTACAAACGGTGTGACGTAAGTGTAAAAATGCTTGGATTTTCTATTTCAAAATATTTTCTAGTAGGGAAATAAATCTGAATTTTGGGGAAAAGCTTACCAAAAGTATAGTATATTAATATGCCTAGATAAATATATTATTGGTACCAAACCTATCAGTGCAGAAGAGGAGGGCATAACATATATTTTATTTGTATAAAAACCAAACTTAAATTGAATCGATTAAAAATTTAAAAATATAATATCAAAATATTAAACAATTGCTGTTTACAAAATATATAGTTTAAGAAATAACTAGAATGTAATAACCAGTGGGTATATTACTTGTGTTTTTGAATTCTTTCCGCTTTTTGTACAACTTTGTATACTGTAAAAAAAGGTACAGTATTCTTTTAGTATGTGAATCACCAAGACATCTATATGTATATAATATTAGGTACGCACAATGTACTGCCGTACGGATACCGATCTATTGACGGGCAGATTACATTTTTTACTAAAAATGATTTCGATATCATTAAATGTAATCCTGCATTACTTTGTATTAGTATTAATAAATAATTAATAATAATAAAATAACTTATAAATTCTAAATACAATTGGCCTACTCACATATTTTTATACTATTACTTTATCATTATTTAAGCTATGCCAGATATTCGACGACCATGAAATTCATCTGGAATTTAAAACTGTTATAATTGTTTTTTTTTATATATTTTAAATTTTGTACATTTTTGTATAATATACGTAGATAATATCAACATATTTTGACAATTTAAAATGTACTTTTTCGTTAAAAATTTAAATTATTAACGATTAGTAAATTGAATATAATCCAATAAATAATTTGATAAGTCAGAAAAATAGTAATATATTTGTAGTAAATAATAATAAATTTAGTTTTATATTATTTGTACATAATATAATGTTTTATACCTATAACCTATATATTGACATTAATTTATTAGGTATTACTTTTTTCTATTTGTGTATATCTTCATGACTTCATTATATTCATAGTAGTTAACGTAAATTACTCTTTTTAGGATTCCATACTGTAAAACGAGACATCCGTCCATCAGTCTGTCACCTGCAGGCTGTATCTCATGAACCATGAAAGTTAGAAAGTTGAAATAAATGCTCGAGTCCGACTAGCACTCGGTCGGTTTTTTAAGTCTTTTTTTTATGTTTATAAGTTATCTTAACATATTTTTTTTAGGCGCATTTCTTAAAGATATTTAGGTCAAGTTCCGGTTATGACTTACGATCAGATCACTTAAATACGACAGACGTGTCCGCGTTTCAGTGAGACAACCAGCTGCTGTGCAGACCCCCCCCCCTCGTGTGTACAATATGTCAGTGGGAGGTGGCCAATGTTTAGAAGCGGACGACTGTGGCTGCCTCGGCTAGCCTTTTGGACATGGGTTGTTCACATTTTTTTTACGTATTTGTGAGTGTGTGTTTTCAGACGCACCTCGCAATGAATAAGGGACGGCTGCCACCGCCTCGTACATTAAATATGTTCAAATATCTACACGAAGCCGACTATAATTAAGTAACAATTATAGGTAGATACGAGAAGGATCTGGCATACACTCTTTTGAGTGTAGTGATATTATTATATTAATATAGATAATATATCGATAATCACAAATTAATGGCCGCCGCATTCCAGTTCCCAATATGAAATTAGTTAAGAATACAATTATAAAACAATTAAAAATTACTTTGAGATTATTGATGGAAATCAAAATGGTAAATTGTACATAGGTAACGCCGATTTTTTTTAATAATAAATATTGTATTTTAAATAGTCACTGTAAATACGATATTTTTCAGAATTTCTGCAGACTCCATGAAATAAAATATATACGTACATTTTTCCATTGCATTCAAAAAAACTCTGGTCGAGCCTCACGCCGTGTGAACCTAGATGTACAGTATACATATATATATTATATATGTTACGGTAAATGATGTAAAACATGAAAATTACGTAATTAACCGGTAATTATCGTAAATATACTATATATTATATTATAGTATATTATAGTATATATAAAATGGAGATTTTCGATATTCGCCGGTTATTTGCGATATTCACCAAACTAATTGGTAAATGTATGTATGATACTAAAATTCAATTATAACAACTTTTATGTTTTTCTGCTGCACAGTTTTACATGAGGTAGATTTTTAATATCTATAAATATGTTTATGAGCAAGATATCTGATACCTAAAGATTAAAGGTATAAGTAATCGATAATAAAGTTCAGTTTTAGGACGGGGTATCGAATATTCTAGAACGTGCAATAACGATCGTAATGACCTTCGACAATTGCCGACAACGTTTTGAAGGCCCATTACGTCTTTCTGACAAATACACAGATATCCGAGATCCAACAGTATTGTAGACAGTGTCATCCAGCGTGTATGTTGTTTAGTGTTTTGTTTTTTCGTAGTTTTGTTTCTTCGTATTTATTAATCATAATTTTGTTTAAAAAAATAGTAGTAAATATTTAATATTTAAATATGGATGAGAACGTTATGAAGAAAAAATTTGATGATATTATATCTTCTATAATTACACAAAAACGTGATGACAACAAAGCGTTTTTAAGTTCATCCGAATACGACTGTCGTTTGGAGAAATTAAAATCATCAAAGTTGGCTTTAAATACAATTGGTATGAAGAAGACAATAAAAGATTATAGAATGGTACGTAAATTCGATATTTTAACTGTCAATGGAAAAGATAAACTCATCAAACCTGTAATTAATGATACCGTACTGTACTATGTGACAAACGATGAATTATTTGATATTCTTCATTCGACTCATTCCGCAATTGGCCATGGTGGAAGAAATCGAATGAGGGCTGAGCTTAAAATGAAATATTGTAATATTACCAATGAAACAATAATGGTGTATTTAAGTCTTTGCGTACACTGTCAAAAAAAATCATCAAATCCGAAAAGAGGACTGGTATCAAAACCAATTTTACACAACGCTTTTAACTCTCGAGCACAGATCGATTTAATTGACATGCAATCACAGTGTATTAATAATTTCCGTTTCATAATGAACTATCAAGATCACCTTACAAAATTTGTTGTGTTAAAACCTTTGACAAGCAAACGCGCGGAAGAAATTGCTCACAATCTACTCGATATTTACACAACATTTGGAGCTCCGGTTATATTGCATTCGGATAATGGGCGTGAATTTGTGAACTCAATAATAACTGAATTACATTCAATGTGGAGTGACGTTAAAATCGTCCACGGAAAACCTCGGCATAGCCAAAGTCAAGGTTCCATAGAAAAGGCAAACAGAGACGTAGAAGATATGCTTACTACTTGGATGGCACAAAATAATACAAAGGATTGGCCAAATGGCTTGAAATTTATTCAATTTCAAAAAAATCGCGCTTTCCATTCAGGTAATAATTAACTTAACCTATTTATACTATAATCAAGTTTTTATTTTATTTTCTATACATGATAGTTTGTATACCTATAATTATAAATATTTTTATATTAATAATATTTTTCTAATTAATAATATTTTTATTATTAATTAATATTATGTATTATTATTATTACTATATAGGTATTGGTAGATCACCGTATGAAGCCATGTTCGGATGTCCAGCAAGAGTAGGATTAGCCTCAATTGGTATTCCAACAAATGAAATTGAATGTTTGTGTACTGAAGAGGATATTGAATCAATTCTACCACAAAATAGTGATGAAGACACTGGAAATATTTCAAGTCTAAGTGATGGATACTGTGAAAATTATACTAAAGATGAAGCAAAACTTGGTCTGTTTTTTACATAATTTTTCTTATTAAATATAATTAAAAACATTTAAAATATTTTAGTTAACGAGCGACAAAACAAAATAACGAACGAACGAAAAAAATCAGTCTCATGTTTGCAGAAACAAGCCGTAAAGATGTTAAAGTCATCATCATCTCGATTTGATCCACTCGAAATAGGTTCAACCGTTAGAGTATCGATACCAGATGTAGATCGTGCTCGCGGAGCTCCGCGTAATTTATTAGCAGTCGTTTTAGATGTCGAAAATGATCTTTACAAATTAGGTGAGTACCCTTATATAATATTTTACAAAAAATGAATGTTATACTTTTAATATAGGTACTGAACATGGACACCTAAAACATAAATACACAAGATCTAAGCTAGTACCTTGTAAAGAAAAACTTCTCGACATACCTAAGTTCATCAAAGAAAAAGAGCTTACTCTTCGAGAGGCAGCAGGTTTGAGCAGTATTTCAGGCACTCAAGGGTACCAACGATGTCACTGCAAAACTAAATGTAAAAATAATAAATGTGCTTGTCGTTCTTCAGACAATTTTTGTAATTCAATATGCCATGGATCATTACCATGTGAAAATAAGTAGTTAATAATAATATATGATACAAGTACAACAATAACCATTTGTATAATTTTTTATCGTAAATTCCCGGTAATTGACGTAAAAATCTACTCATATAAATTAAAAATGGATATTAACGATATTTACCGGTAAATTACGTAAATTATTATTTTTCGTCATTTACCGTAACATATACATATATATTATAGGTGTTGAATAATGAAGCTTGATCAAACGTATCATTTAGGTATTTAATTAAATAAATAATACGACTTTATGATTATGTAAATACTGTAATATAATTATAATATAAATGTAACTTACGCAACTGGACTGTATCACTAACTGTACACACAGTATGATTGTTTGTGAGCAAGTTGCAACTACTTTTTACAAACATTGAAAATCCCTATTTATGTAAATGCATTATCGAGGTCGCTCTATAACAATGAAAGTGATGTCATAATCAGTAACCTTGAAAATACTTAAGAATACATATTAATATGTATTAGAAAAAAGTGAAGGATATACAATAATTATAAAACAATTAAAAACTACTCTGAGATTATTGCTGGAAATCAAAATGTTAATTTGTATATACCTAACTCCGATTTTTTTAAATATTGTATTTTAATAGTCACTGTAAACACGATATTTTTCAGAATGTCTGCAGTCTCCACGAAATAAAATATATACGTACATTTTTCCACTGCATTCAAAAAAACTCTGGTCGAGCCTCACTCCGTGATAACCTATACCTACAATCATATATAGGTACCTAGTATATTATTATATTATAGGTGTTGAATAATGAAGCTTGATCAAACGTATCATTTCGGTATTTAACTAAATAAGTAATACGACTTTATGATTATGTAAATACTGTGATATACTGTAATATAAATGTAACGTACGCAACTGGACTGTATCACTGACTGTACACACAGTATGATTGTTTGTGAGCCAGTTGCAAGTACTTTTTACATACATTGAAAAGCCATATTACGTATATAAATTATATAATTATGCATTATCGAGTGACACGCTTTATCCGTATAAAAATGAAATTTATGTCATAATCTGTAACATTATAAGTTATAACTTATAGGATAATATTGTCAAACACACTATTGGTACGTGCACACGCATGCTTACAATGATCGAATATTAATATTAATAGTATTTATAAACCATAGGTAGGTACCTGTTTCATACATATTGGCTTTGATTTTTTTTAATTAGGTAGGTATTTTAAATATACACTGATAACTCAATACTTTTCAATAGGTAAACATACATTAAGTACATAAACGATACTTTACGGTATGGGTACTATTTTGTATTTTAATTTTAACATATTATTTTTATTGTAATTTTGAAATATTTTTAACGCAATTATATTAGGTCTCTACTTATAAATATAAAACATTTTAACGATAGGTATACGAATAAAATTCGACATAATATGGTAGGTAGGTATACGCAATATTATAACATTGAAATTTACTAAAAACGTGAAACTAACATTTTGCACCCCCAAAAGATGTGGTGGCTTATAACAGACATCATTTGGCCAACGACATATTATACACACTTAAAACTAAATTCTGATGTACCTATCATTATACAACTATTGAAAGACTATCGTGGTCAAGACCAAGCCCGGATTTAGTGGGAGCCCAGGGACGTCTCTATTGTTGGAATTTATTAAGGGGCCTCAGATTTATCCAAATTTTTTCGTTATACGCTATAAACGCTTAGAACACTGCATAAATCACCAAAAAAAATCGATGGTTATTTAGAGAGGGAAAAAGCTTGTAAATTATAATTCATAAATAGAGTGATAAATTATACATTATTTATTGTTATGTATATATACCTAATACCTATATATAGTATATACCTATATTTATTATAACAGGTAAATAATATTTATATTTTTATTTATTTATTTTAGCCGTAAATAGGGGCCGCATTAAAGACTTTGGTCCCTGGGCCTCAAAATGTCTTAACCCAGTCTCGGCTAACACGTTCGAAACATTTTAAGGATCTTTCGTGGGACCTGTTTAAGATACGCTGACGTACAGGCTTTTTTGATATTAATATAGTTGGCGGAGATTGGTAGGTACTATTATTTATGTCTAATAGCATTGATTATGGAATAATTATAAAACAATTGTATAATCAATGGTATAACAGACAAAATAATGTACAATAGTATGTATAGTGTGCAGCGGCGTATTTAAGAATTTCTAAAGGCAGGAGATGAGGCACTGAATGGCATTTGTTGAAAGTTGATGGTTTCAAATTTCGTTTTCACAAAATGCTAAAAAAATTATATTCAGCGCTGGTGTTGCACAGTTAAAACGTGTAAGTGTTTTTTGAAATTTAATGATAATAATATTTGTATAGATAGTTTTAAAGATCACAAAAGTAATTTTAAAATTTCGGAACAAATAATAAATCTACAGAAACTGAACAACAGTTTAAAAAGAAAAGCCGTTGATGATAGGTTTACGAGGCCATCTAAAATTATTTATTCTGAATTAAAATTGCTGATATCGAATCTTGAACTACTCAAGACGTAAAGTTGATTAAACGAAATGTACACAATGCTCGAGCTTCTATCCTAATAATATTACCAGCCACTTTTTTCAATTATACTACATTTTTGACCACATGGAATTTAAAATAAATAAAAATGAAAATTTTCTATTAGTAAATAGTCAAAAAACAAATATAGTAGGTTTCTCTACGTTAAGCAATTTAAAAGTGCTAGGCAATTCGGACACTATATATTTGTAGATGGTACATTCAAAAGTTGTCCGAAATTATACCATCAATTATTTACCGTTCATTGTACCATAAATCAGTCTTATGTTCCATTCGTTCATATTTTACTACACAGTGCTATTTAGATGCGTTTCAACATTTAGTTATAGAGTGTAAAAAAAATTAAGTTTCTGCTGGGGTGAAGTAATGATTACAAAAACAATAATACGGATAAAAGTAATTTTTTTAAATTATTTTTTGGACTTCCTTTTTTAAGTCATGATATGGTTGAAGATGGTTTTGAGTATGATATAATGGCATTGCAACCACAAGATAATAGGATAGTACAATTTACTGACTACATATTAGAAACATATTTAACCAACGACGCAGAGTTTCCACCACAGATATGGGCCGAATTTGTATCATCAACAATGCGCACAACAAACAATTGTGAATCATTTCATAAAAAATTTTGATTTTTATATTCCAATTCTGATTTCAAGTATACCTGAAGACCATAATATATTCAAATTACTGATAATTTTGTACTACTCAAGAAATGTCTTGTGGCTATACAAACTTCAATTTTTCAAATGAAAACCCAATTTTTTTACTGTTAATTATTTAGAGGGTGATTATCTTCAAAATGTTAAAGTACCTACCTATCTAAATCAAATTCTAATAAGTTATTTCTGAGTTATTAAAATATTTATACTGAGGAATAAGGATAATAATCCTTAAATATGGTTTAACAAAAATTTAAACTATATGTAATATTAGATGTAAGTAGTATTCGTTATACTTAATAGTCTTTACAAATTATTTATATTGATAGATCAATAGTAATTATTAACATTTTCAGAATTCGGATCGTCTAAGCCCCCAAATCTACTTTAATCTATTGCCATAGGACATGGACATATTATTCTTAGTACCTTGACTCTAACTATCGCAGCTCTTTTCAATATTGTTTCTGCTTGAGTTTCAATTAGAATTTTGATAATAATCGTGCTCAAATTATCATTCGATAAAATCTGACAACGTTGGAAAAAAAAATAAAATATCGAGCGTTCTCAATCGTGTTACCAAAAATGCTGTTCTCAATCGTATTTTACCGAAAAATTTTATTCGTGGGTAAACGAACATATAATATGTGTTGTAAGTGGTGTCCTTTAGACCGGAAAGCAAATAATAGATATAGGAACGCATCGCATTTATATCGTAAACTGTAAATAATTGGAATTTGGACAATATGTTTTACTGTCTTACTTCTAATTTCGGTCGGCGGCGGGCACACTATTATATAATAATTAATGTCAATTAAAATCTTGTAAAATGTATACCGTCTGGACACTGCAGGACACAAGCAATATAAGTATAAAGTATATCATTATTCATTGTATAAGTAATATAAAAAAAGGTGGGTAAGTGGATGTCGCTCTGCTGTACAGTATTTTACAAGTGGGTCACTGTATAATGGATGGCATTAAATTTGAATTCAATGATACAATATCATTGTATAAGAAAAACGATTCTGAGCGGAGACGGTATGTCAGTCTAGGTTTAATACAAATTATATACATATCTATGGTATTAAAAAAAAAATTGACCTATAATAAATTCCAAATTAATCATATCACATTATCACAATATCCATTAGGTACTTATAACACGTTATACATCAACATCAACAACAAACCCTGATACTATCATATATATATAATAGTACACTTTAGAAGTTTCAAGTAGGTACCCCGTACCCACGAATAATATTATATAATCACAACAAAATAACTAGGGCTGCCGTTGTCTGATTTCATTGCTAGGAAATTGATCGTTTTCACTTAATCCACGTTAAAGTCTAAAGACATAATTATGATGTGGATGATACCTATTTGGATATCGATCTGCGTACAACCGAGCTGCTTATCGAGAATTACGATTACATTCACCAAAAATAAGAATAAGTTCGACTTTTTCACTGCTATTCATTTTAATACAGTTCTTTCAAGTAAAACAGTGTATTAAAGCAATAACGATATTTTCAGAAAAACATGTGATATCTAACCAGAACAAAAAATAACACGTAACAGTAATTGTCACAAGACTAGTTTGAAATTATTAAAACAATTATTACTAGTCAGCGAAAATAATTTATCAACATTTATTTATAAAATAAATGTATAACGAACAGGATTTACTATCTTAATTACAGGCAAAATTTAAAGTCAAAGTTATTTTTATTGTCTTATCTGTGTGCAAACAGGTATTTAACAATAATTGGATACTAATAAGCAGGGCTCGTAAGTTCATGCATCTGCATGTTTTTTTTGCTACACAGGAAAACATGCTAACTGAGATACAAATCCGTTTCATAACAATAGTAATAATAATATGAAGTTTGATAGTGCATGTTTTTGCATGTTTTGGGTGTAAAGTCATATTTGGCATATAGTTGATTTTTTACAGTCGTTAGTGCATATTATTTCATAAAAATATTTTTTAGACAAATATTTGAAAAGTTTCTTCCGATTTTTGATATCTTGTTCCAATCGTCCAATATCGCATGGTAAATTATAACGGTTTTTTAGATTTTTTATTGATTAATTATTTAGCTAATTAATAAAAATATCGAAAATCGGGCTTCTTACGATTGTAAAACAAGTTCTACTCTACAATTTTTATTATAGGTATTTTTACTGTAAGCCACTTTAATAAGCCGTATTACTTGAATTACGAAACCATGGTTTTATGCCATATTTTGTCTACTAGTGCGCCCTCTTAAGTTGGAAAACATAAAAAATACACTTATAAAATATATATTACTAAATTATGTCAAAATGAAAAATCTAATATTTAATTCCAAATGTTTTCATTGTTGGTGCTGAATAAGGGTGTACACAAATTAGACAAAAATGACTACCTAATTAAAATTTATAAAGATGACAAAGCTATTTGAACTTCACAAGTATTAATTTTATTTTTTATTTTATTAATTTTGACTGTTAAATATATAAAAATAAAAAGGAATAAAATACTTTTAAAATGTATGGATTTATTCTAATTTTAAAATTTGGTCATGTTTTTTTTACATAATGCATATTTTGAGTTCATAATTTAAAAATGTGAAGGCATATAAATGCATATTTTCGAACTTTTAAGTGCATATTTTGACAATTTTTAGTGCATGAATGCATGCTTATTTATGCATTTTTTAGTGCATGAAGTTACGAGCCCTGCTAATAAGTAACAATAAGTTGAATTTATAGTTTTAAATTTCGTCAAAAACAAATTACTCGTAAATATTAAATTTCATCGTTAAATAGTGTAATTAGAAAAAAACTTTGTATACATAAATTGTTTAGAAAAAAATACTCTATCCGAATATGTAAAAAAAAAATGGTGTTACCATTTAAAAAAAAGTAAGTTGTATCGCGCATGCGCGTATCGAAAGTGTTAAAAATTTGAAATTTGTCTGAAAATGTGTATTTAAGTACTCCCTATTACCTCTTGAAAACCCCATTTCAATCAGAAGTCATCCAGCTGAGATATTTAGTGGTACCTCATAGCGTGAACACACTGTATATAGGGGTCGGAATTATATTCTTTTAAAATAGCAAAAATAAGATGCTAATTTTCTCTTAAAAAGTTGAAAATATTCTTCCAATATTCTTTAAAAATCATAATAAAATATGCAAAAATTATGTTTTTTTATTAAAATATTCTCTTGAACTAAAAATATGCACTTATATGCAAAATAATTAATCAAATAATACAAACTGATATAAATAAATACATACTATGCAAAATAATACAAAAACCTGATATAAATAGGTACCTACATAATAAAAAATACTACAAGTTAAAAAAAGTTTGATTAAATTATTAATAATAATATTTAATATTCAATTATTTTAAATTTTTAACAAAGAAAATGTGTGAAAACAGTGGACAACTATATTTTGTACCATGTGCTCTGGTATCATATTTGTACAACGGTCGATTAAAATGTATTTATATGTCATAATTTATATTATTTATGCCACTGCAACAAAAAATATCGAACATCTGAGTAACTGAGTAGAACGATTCTTAACTAATCTATAAATTATTTTTATGTAATACATATAATATTATGTGCTTATGCTTTATATTATTATTATTATTTGCGTATGATATTACAATTAGGTACCTACAATACTATAAAGGTGGCTCAGTGTGGCTGAAATTAATCACGCTACGTGATTATATAAGAGTAAGCAATGAACGCGACTTTTCAAATTTTCCGCAATTCTATAAAATTTCAAAATTAAATTTTATATTTTCAATTATAAAACTTTTCCACTAATCTACTACCCAATACCTATTTAGGGGGTTGGGGTTGATAGGGTGTATTATACCGATCAAAACCCACTTTACAGGAAAAACTCTCACACCTCGTAGATTGGTCCAATTTCAGTAATTTATTTTTTGTTTGTTGGAAGAATATTTTTTACAGGGCACATTGGACTTCGATTTTTATACATTTTAATACAAAAACTAAAAAGTTGTAAAAATGGATTAAATTCAAACTTGTAATATAAGATTTCGAAAAACAATATTGAAAATCCAAGTCAAATGCAAACTGCAATAAGTCTTCCACTTTTTAACAAAAAAAAAAATTACGGAAATCAGACCAATCTACGAGGCGTGAGAGTTTTTCCTTTAAGGCATGTTTTTGAGCAAAAATACGGGTCGAACGCAGGCCCCTTAATGTTATATATAGGGGCCGGAATTATATTCTTTTAAAATAGCCAAAATAAGATGCTAATTCTCTTAAAAAGTTGAAAATATTCTTCCAATATTATTTAAAAATCATAATAAAATATGCAAAAATTATGTTTTTTTATCAAAATATTCCCTTGAACTAAAATATGCACTTATATGCAAAATAATTAATCAAATAATACAAACTGATATAAATAAATACATACTATGCAAAATAATACAAAAACTTGATATAAATAGGTGCCTACATAATAAAAAATACTACAAGTTAAAAAAAGTTTGATTAAATTATTATTAATAATATTTAATATTCAATTATTTTAAATTTTTAACGAAGAAAATGTTTGAAAACAGTGGACAACTATATTTTGTACCATGTGCTCTGGTATCATATTTGTACAACGGTCGATTAAAATGTATTTATATGTCATAATTTATATTATTTATGCCACTGCAACAAAAAATATCGAACATCTACAAAAATTAATCGATATATTCACTAATATTCTTTTATCTTGAAATATTTCCAAATATGCAAAAAAAACTTTTGTTATTAACCAAGATATTTTATGATTTCTAAAGATTTCGAACCCCTGTCTAACTTTAGACTAAAAATAAAAAAGCAAAAGAATATAATTCAGGCCCCTATATAATATATACATTATACATTTATAATAAATACAATGAAGTAGGTCACAACTCCTCACCCCTCCCCGGACCACGTCATTAAACTAGATTACCATATTATACTTAAATGCAGTTTTTTTACAGTAATAAGTATGGATATTCTAATTTCTAATTGAATGGCTCAATATTCAATTTTTTTTTTAAAAATTTGAAAGTTAAATTTACTACAGTACTAACAGAAATCCCCTATTGTCCACTAAAATCGGTAATTAAATGATACGTTCCGCAGGTTTATGTACGTTGCTTGTTTGTTGGTAAAAAGTCAAAGACCGTGTTGGATGTCTAGCTTCTAGCAAGTCAGTCTAGTGAAATAAAAATTGATTCACTTTCAAATAAGCCACCATAGAAAAACTAAATGTATCAGGATCATAATTACTAAAATAATTCATGAATATATTCATATATCAATTATTTATAAAAAATATGAGACATGAAAGTTTTTGCCGCAAAGTGTACATATCATTATGTATATTAATTATTACCGCACTGCATATACAAATACACAAGAACATTTTCAAAATATTTTAATTAATTTGTGAACTTATTCAAACCATTCTACTTTCTCACTTCTTACTACAATAATTATAGTACATTAAAGACAATTGGTTTCAGTGTTGAGAATAATTCCATACGGCATGAATTATTTTTCATAAAAAGTACATAAAATATTATTGTTTATTAAAAAGTAATTAAACCTAATTTTATTTAGATTTTAATCAAAATTAATTTACTGTACAATAAATAGCAAGAATTATATTTTTAAATTATAGATTTATATTTTTTAAGAAATGTAAAAAAAATATGAATTATAATTGAATTAAAATGTTTACAATTAAAAATCTACGAAATGTATGATAACATTTATGATTAATGATCAGTTATTATTATACATACAGAAAAACATAAAACATATTCATTATAACTAATAATTTAAATTGTTATTAAAATCCAAACCTTGAAATACAAAGAAAATTTTCCTGGTCATAAAAAATATAATTATATCGAAAAAGGTTTCTCATGTAAAGAAACAAATGAATACTATACATTTAATTTAAAGGTCATTAAACAGTTTATTTAAATATACTCTATCTGTTCGATAAGAGGGAACTGTAAATATCTTAATCTTAGCATCAGGCATCATAGTATTTAACAGTTTCCATAGATCATCAACTGAAAGTATATCAACAATACCACCTGACTTGTCTTTTTCTTTTTCAGCAGTGCCCTCATCTCCTGGTTGCTGTCGGGGCTCTCTTGTTCTGAGCTTAGGTATATTGTTGGTCGTTTCTTTGGTATGGGATGATTTTAATGTACAAAAAGTATGCTTGTTCATTTTTTGACAATTATTTATAAATATTTCTGTAATACGAACTACATCATGAGTCAATAACCAAACCAAGTGTGTTAATGTCTTGGAGAGTTTCTCGAGACAGTCAATCAGGTGACAGATAGTAGTTGCAATCTAAAAAAAAAAATTAGATTAATATTAATAAATAGATGTTATGGAGTAGTATAATACATAAGAAGTATAGTACATACTTTTTTCATATAATTAGGAATAATCAATAAAGCCTTAATACTATCACATTTTTCCAATTCCTCTTCGACACAATTACTGAATTCTATGTTTACCAATTCCAGAACATTGAGCTTTTTAAGACCTCTAATGACAGTAAAAACATCATGTGCAGATTGATCCCATCCATTACAGCAATTTTCTAATCTCAATGTTTTCAAATTGATAAATCTTTTTAGTGACACGGCAAAATCCTTAGTTAAGTATTCGCAATCACCAATTTCCAAAAACTCAATATTATCAGTAATAGTATTCAATCTCTGATAGATCTCTTTTGGAAATTCTTTAATAGACGTTAATGACTACATAAAAATAATAAGAGTAAATATAATACTTTTCTTTAATAAAATATTTTAATTATATATATAATTAATTATTACTAAACTTACAAATCTATTCAAATTTATTAAATTTTCAAATGATGGCAATGCCGTCAATTTTATTCCAGCTAAACCTTTTAGTCTTAACTCTGTGAGCTTTGTCATTTGTCCCAAATGACTTAAGTTTAGGTACATTAAATAATTGGGAGTTTTTGTATTTATAATCAAATCTGGATTTCTAAAAATAAAATTAATTATTGAAACTATTGAAAAAAAATGGATTATATTTTCTTTATTACCTTATTGAAGTGGCATTAAGTACTTCAATTTGAGGTAATGAGTAAACAATATCTTCAACAACCAACTCAGGACATTTATACAATTCAATGAATTTTAACTGTTGTGCTCTTTTCATTGCATGTGCAAATCGCAACCAAAAAATTTCCAAGTCTTCAACTATAGAGGGTCTCAACATACGTCTAGTGTTTAATGTATCAGTTCTTTGTTGATTAATTGTGTTTACAAACTTTTCCCAGTCATAGACCATAGAATTTTCTAAACAAACCTTCTGCCACTAAAAATATTTGATAAATAAGCAAAAATACATTATATGACATTTTACTGTTATACTTACTAAGGATTTATTCATTGCAATTATATGCCAAGCGGTACATACTCTAGAAGCTGATAACAGCTCATGCGTTTTCAAATATTTAAAAACATGTTCCAATGATTGAATCATGCAATTGAATGATGGCGTGGATGTGAAAGGTGTTGCAACTTCAGAATTCCTGTTAAATTTTATTAAAAAAAAAAAAAAACAGATTTAAAATTATTTTATCATACTTGAAAGCATTATAAATATTTATTTATGTTCTCAAAGAGGCACATATAAAGACTTTAATAACACTAGCGTCTAGCTTTAACATACAAACTAAATTAGGCCTCAGAACATGTATGAAACAATTAGTAAATAACAAATAGGAGTTGAAAGGAATATAGGAAAGTTGACTTTCTGCTCAAATCTGAAAACAAACACAATCAAATGATTAAAGTGGTAAAAAAACGAACATTTAACATACATCCAGTCATACAAATAAGACCAATGACCAACGCTACTGTGTGTCTGGTCCATTTTTACATTCCCCAAGAGATAGGGAGAAGATAAAATATTTTAATAATTTCATAATGAAGTTTTAGAAATAGGTGTTCTGTCAATAAATAAATTAGGTGTGTATGACATTTGATTCACCTGTCGTATACGAATTGGTTCAACACCTAGTTATTACGGTTCAGTAGCAATGAAAACCACAGTATAAGAAGACTGTACACGTCTATTTCTTTGTCGCACAATAGATTGACAGTTCTAAATAAAAAAAAAAGGAAAAGTTTTATTGTTTTAAAAAAATTAATAAATCTGTTAATAATCACTTGCTATACAGTATACATACATACATAACAATTTTTAAATTAGCATTCAAATTGATACATGCTGGATGATAGTAGACCAGACATTCAACACACATTAAAGTGGCAGGTTCATCGTATCCCACAAGGTGTCTGCATAATGACTTCACCAATTTGATGTTTACAACTTCTTTTTATCCATTCACGTATGTGGTTTGATTGAGGAAGGATTATGAAGGAAGCAGAAGGATAACAACCCAATAATTTTGCGTTACATTTGTGAAGCCAAATATTAAACTAATAAGCAAAAACTGTTTAAGCATTAACAATATAAAATAAAGCTAACATGTTACCGTCTTTTATTTATAGTGTTATTTATATCAATTTTCTCAAGTTTTTGAGAAGAAACTTTTGGCGATGCACTAGATTGAATAGCTTGGCAGTCTTCAGATATGTATTCAGGTTTAGATGAAGATGCATTCATTGATTCTGAAATACCTAGGTGATTATGTAAAATGTCAGTAATGTATATAAATTGCACAATAAGACAAATAATTATTTGTCAGATTAATAGGCAAATAAATACACAGGGAGTTAAACCAAATATAAAATTATATTGTATGCAATTTAGAAAAATGTGAATTGTATTTTAACTAAATATTTCATAGATAGATTGCATTATGTGTGCATTTTAGAATATTATAATGAGATGCAGTAGGTATTATTTGAGATAATGCGAGTATACAAATTCACAACTGTTAGAGTCAATACCATTTATTTGAATTACCTAGGTTAATTTAATAATCTTTTTGAAAACCAATCATTATTCATTTTAAGTAAACCCAGTACATAATATAAAACTTATACTGAACATTAAATATAATAGGTACTTTCACATGCATACTGTGTAATAATCAGCAAAGTATGTTAGACTACTTGGGCCAAGATGAATAAAAATGATTATACAATATATTATTATATATAAAAATTACAAATTATTTTTTATTGGTTAACAACATTCCCATGGGTGCCCAACTGTCTTATTTCCGATTTATGTATTATACATTGGGGGTCACTCACCTAAAGTAGGGGTAACTTGTAATTCCAATGATTCTAAGGCATCACTGTGAAAATTGTCTTTCTTATGCCTCTTATCACTCCGATTGTTCTTAACATCATTAAGTTCTGGTGATGATACTATAAATCAATCATAAAATAATACATTATTATTACACATCCATAATATGCATGATATAAAATATAAAAACATAAGCAGATTTACAGATGTCTTTATAACTTACTCGTTGATATAGAATGTTTTTTTTTATTAACAATGGATGGCTCTTCGACTTCCATAGCTTCACCTGTTTCTTTACTTAGTTCCATTTTTACCCCTGAACGTGGTCATAAAAAAAACAATTGATAACATTTAAAATTGGTACATATTTAATTTTAAGTTAAATACAATAGCTGTATAAACATATCATAGACAAAAAACTTACAATTTTTCTTATTTTCAATTATTATCAATACTTCTTCTTCAATATCAAATCCAAAAAAATGTTGTTCTGGTTTATTGGCCTCCTAAAAATAAACAAATTAAAATATAACTTATTATTGTTAATTTATCATATTATACAATCTTGCTATAGTATTATATGATTTATAAAACAAAAAATGTTGTATGTTATTTATAATATAAGCTAATCTAGACTAAATTTTTAGTATGTAAAGAAGTGGTTTTTATATAAAGAATAATACAGAAATAAAGCACATTTTATTAGGATAAGTATTAAATGGGTAAGTTGTATTATATTCACATTATTTAGTAAGATTAGTAAATGTTAAATTAAGACAAATTATTTTTAATATGGTTTTTATTAATCTGCATTACAACAATACATAGTATATTGTTAACATTACATGTACATTATAACTTTTACACTGAAATAAGGGGCGAATGTAAGTTCCCACACGAGATATAGCAGGTAAAAATGACATCGGGGTACGTATACATAAGTTACCACACGAAAAAAAATTACTTAGTAACGTAAGTTACGAAAGTACGTTAGTTCCCCCACGAAAAAAAAAACTACACCAAATACAAACTTCCTGCGAACTTTATTCAGACTTAGGACTGACAACTTAAATGTAGTTGATGTGGTTAAAATTTGTTTGTTTTTGTGTTGCATAAAAAAAGTACAATCAATTTTTTAATTTAATCTAGTCAAAATAGATAATAAAAATTAATAATTTAATGTGTAGGTATGGTCCACATATAATTTGTACAGGTATAAAATAATAATAGCTATAATAATTATAATAATAGTAATAGAAAAATTATATTGTATTTGGCTTATTGTGAAAGCTCAAACGCTGAAACACTTCACATAGTCATACTGTGTAATTATTTTTATAGTTATAATCTGATATTTTGTTATTGATATAGTTTCCCTCTAGTATTTGGGCTAGTGCTAGTTCTGATACAAGTCTTACTACAAACGCTTGCCCTAAAAGTCTGAATAAATTTCCGTGTGAGAAATTACGAACTGTATAATTGTATAATTTATGTGGGTAAAAATTTGTTAAGTTTCAAGAGTTTGGAATTAATAGATCTTAACCTCATAACCAAATTTTTATATAAATTAGTTATATTTTAAAACCCAAATTATTTTTTAATTAAATTATAGAGAATTTATTCATTACATTTTGATGAAAATACCTAAATTTATTCCAAAGCCACTGGTTTGAAAACTCTGTTTGATATTTCACAAGGCATAAGCGATAATTAAGGTCTCATGCACTTAATACTTTAAAAGTATGGAATATAATATCAAGTCGTATTGATTATGTTGAGAAAAATACAACAGATACTGAAACAACTAATTTGGTTGATATTAATGATATTGGCTAATAATTATTACACTTTATAGTTTATAACCTCTAAAAACAAAAATATAATATATAATTCAATAACTCTGACAGGTTGGAACAGATTCATCAGGAACCACAATGAGTTAATAAATTTAGAAGACAGTGGGTAAGTATTAAAAATATCAATTGGGTATAAAAATTATAAAATAATGAGTACCTACTAAAACTACTAAAATATTTATTAATTAGTTGTCTAGAATTCATCTATTTAATGTCTTTTCAAAATGACCAGTATTATACAACCATAAATGGTTCTAGTATTTCTAAGAGTTTCAAAAATCGGCAATTGATGCTCAACATCTTAGTATTGAAGATAGTTGGTAAGAATCTGAATGTGTTAAATATGAGCTCAATGAAGTGAAAATAATAATATTTCTTTAACAAAAATAACTATAGGCATGCTAGGAATTTGAAAAGAAATAGAAACAAAGATGTTTCACAAGAAATTTCAAAGTATTCACTAAATCAATTAGTAGAATTTTTTCAATAATGCGTAATGCTTTATGTTTTATTCAATGTGCATTAATGTTTAGTTATCCTCAGCTAAAAATACTATGTGTATAAGTGTATTCGAAATAATTTAGATAAAAGTTGACGGTTGAACCTCAAACATTATGAATATGATTAACATGGAAGTTTTTTTTTGAAACACTACTATTATTCTTTAACATTTTATTATTTGTTTTGCATGACCTGATAAGTTAATAGTGTTTATTAATAATTTTTTTGGTTTAGTTTTTACATATAGGTAGTTATTGATATAACTTAATTGAAACAATGAACTAATAAAAATAAATTTAACATATGTTTTAAATATCTTTTGTTAAAATTTTAAAGATTACAGAATCTGTTAGACTATTAAATGGTAGAAAACTAAAGTTTGAATGAAGAAATCACAAGGATTAAAAATATTATAGCCATACAAGAAGGAAAATTGTTGACAGCTAATGACCAGAAACGACAAGAACATCTGTTTGAAATACATTTTAGAGAATGTTTTCTCAAACACAAATCTAATTTTAAATTCAAAAGAAAAAGTTTTTAGGTGGTCAAATGAAGATATTGAGCAGCTATATCTTTAAGAAGCGTAACTTTAAAAGCAAATTTTTATTTGAGTGAAAAAATTATAACCTGTCAGGTAAGTAAATATTTTTATGGATGAATTAAAAAAAAAAAAAGTTGCATTTTACAATTTAATTTAAAGGTCTATAAACATTGAGATAGTGGGCAGCTAAATTTTCAGTTGAAAAGTGAATGTTAACTGATGTTTTAGCCGTGATGAAGGAAAAAGGTAAGTCTTAATTTTTGTATAAGTAATTTTTATTTTATAAATCATTTTTACTGAACAGGAAAATTAAGGAGCTTCAATAATAAAATTACAGTTTTATCTTTTGATGAAACTTACATTTCTCATAAAATTTTGTATAAATAAAAAAAATGAACAAATTTTAGGACCATATAAGTGTGTCCGAACTGTCATGTCTATAGGGTGGTTACATAACTTAACTAATTTAAAATAATGGATAACAATCAATGTTATTATAATACTAATAGGCGTTTCAGACATACAGAGTCCCATTAGCCAGTTAAAATACTGTAAAAATATTTGTTATTACTTATTATAGTGGTTATTATGGTAGCTGGTAAATTAAATTGATGTGACTCACATTGGTCTTAGTTTAGTCTTAAAGCTAATAGTAATGTCATCACAGTTACCTAAGATGAATACAGTATTTGGGCAACAAACCTCTAAATATAAGTTCATAAAATGTTTGTATTAATTATAGTTTTGTACACTCATTATTTCAATAATTAAAAAAGTTTGAAAAATTTACTACATTATAATCATAATGTTTTATTAAAACCATATTTGTAAAAGGATCAGACTAACATAGTAGGTAACTAAGTAACACAATTCTTAACTAACCTATAAATTATTTTTATATAATACTACATTTAATATTATGTACTTATATTATTATTATTATTTGTGTATGATAATTACAATGAGGTACCTACAATACTATAGAACTATAAAGTACTCTAATTAGATGTACTCTCCTCGAGCATATAAATAGGCATTTGAGGAAATTTTACTTTTGTACCTAATTCGTTATAAATGTATGTAATTGTTAACCCTTTATGACACCAAAAACAAAAATATTATTAGTATTATTAAAATAATACAAGTTAGTAGGGAGTTATGTTTTTCTAAAAACTGATAGGTATCGTAAATTGAATACTATGTAATATGAATATTATGTTGGTACTATTTAGATATGTTAAATACGAGTTGTTTTTATAAAACTTTTATTTAGTTTTTATACTGTAGTATCAAATATTGAAGTAGGTACCCTAAATTATAGTAAAATGAACACCGGTTATAAAACTAATGTTCAATTTTAAAAACGGCTTAATAATTTTAGAAACATTTTAAAAACCACAATAATACAAAAGTTATTTTTGAGTAAATAATTATTTACAGTCATTCTACCTAAATAAAGTCAGAGGGGTGTTGAACTAATTTTTGGTGAGGCGCTATATTACCTAATAAGATGCTAATATTCTCTTAAAAAATTGAAAATATTCTTCCAATATTCTTTAAAAATCATAATAAATTATGCAAAAATGAATATTTTTTAATTAAAATATTCTCTTGAACTAAAACATGCATTTATATGCAAAATAATTAAGCAATAATACAAACTGATATAAATAAATACATACTTGATACTATGCAAAATAATACAAAAACCTGATATAAATAGGTACCCACATAATAAAAAAAATGGGCAAGTGGGTGTCGCTCTGCTGTACAGTAGGTAACAAGTGGGTCACTGTATAACGGATGATATTAAATTTGAATTCAACGATATAATATCATTGTAAAAGAAAAACGATTCTGAGCGGAGACAATATGTAAGTCTAGGTATAAGACATAGTATATACATAACTATGGTATTAAACAAAAAATTGACGGTACGTCGGTACCTATAGTAAATTAAAAATTAATCATATCACAATATCCATTAGGTACTTATAATGCATATGCATCAACAAAAACCGTGATATTATCATAGATATAAAATAGTACACTTTAGAAGTTTTAAATACCCATGAATAATATTATTCAATCACAACAAGATAACTAAAATACTTATTCTAGGTTTTTATTATGTAATTTCGTCCAAATTTGAATTTAAAATGTCTGGAAAAAATAACTGTGTTCATATATTTTTTAGATTTTTTGGTTACAGTATGAACTATTTATGAGAACCTTTGTTTTAAATTTGCACTCCTTAGCTATAAAATCTGAACATTTTATAATTTATTAATTACAATGATTGATAATTTTCGAGATATTGATAATTTTTGTCAAAATTCGATCTTTAAATGCTTATAAAAAAAAATTGTGCCTATGTATTTTTTAATATTTTTCAACTGATATTGTA